AGGATCGGAGACTATCCTGGCTAACACGTGGAACCCGCGTCTCTACTAAAAAAACAAAATAGCCAGTGACGGTGGAGCGCCTGTAGGCTTGGGAGCTGAGCGGAACGTGAACCGACGAGCTTCAGTGAGCTGAAACCCACTGCGGACTCCAGCCCCTGGGCGAACAGAGCGAGACTTCGCAAAAAAAAAAAAAAAATTAGCCGGCCATGTGTGGCACGCCTGTAGTCAGCTTATCTAGAGGCTGAGGGCAGGAGAATTGCTTGAACCGGCGAAGTAAAGGTTGCAGTGACCCGGAGATCGTGCCATTGCACTCCATGCTCGCAGGCAACAGAGCTAGGGCTCATTCCATCTCTGCTCAAATCACACCAGAACTTGTGAGGAGAGAGAGAGAGAAAGAAGCGAGAGTGGGTGGATCTCCTGATCGGAGCCAACATGGCTGCTGCGGGAAAGCACAGACGAGAGGAAAATGAGGTTGTGATGTGTGCATAAAAATGACCACAAAACAAGTCTAGCTGGAGAGTCAGCTGTTGAGCACCAATTCCAGCATGTGTGTGTCTGAGTGAGGACTGGGAGTTGGATGTACAGTCGGCCGCGCACAGACATGTGTAGTGTGCCGCACTCCAGCCTGGGCGACAGAGCGAGACTCTGTCTCAAAAAAAAAAAAAAAAAAAAAAAACAACGCAAAAAGCCACAGAACTTGTATCACCTAAAATCATCCTTGCCTTCACCTTCCTGAAATGCTCCCGGCCAAGAGCAATCTCAGGCCAGTGGCTCTCAGCTGGGGGTGATTCTGCACCCCCAACCAGGGGACACTGGACAATGTCTGGAGACATTTGTGGTCCTCACGCCTTGGGAAGGTGTGAGTGGAGACCAGGGATGCTGCTCAACCCCTACAGTGCCCAGGACGGCCCCACCCAGAGAACAGTCCAACCCCAAATATACACAGTGCCCCAGGGAAGAAAACTATTCTAAGAGCAGAGAATGGACTCCAATCCTACCCTGGGCCGGGCGTGGTGGCTCACACCTGTCAACTCAGCACTTTGGGAGGCCGAGGCAGGCAGATCACAAGGTCAGGAGATCGAGACCATCCTGGCTAACACGGTGAAACCCTGTCTCTACTAAAAAATACAAAAAACTAGCCGGGCGTGGTGGCGGGCGCCTGTAGTCCCAGCTACTCGGGAGGCTGAGGCAGGAGAATGGCGTGAACCCAGGAGGCGGAGCTTGCAGTGAGCCGAGATCGCGCCACTGCACTCCAGCCTGGGCGACAGAGCGGGACTCCGTCTCAAAAAAAAAAAAAAAAAAATCTGCCCCGCTCCCTTAAGGTACCCATTGTGGGCCCAGGAAGGGACTGAGAGTCCAGGGCGGGCACCGGCCCTCACACACAGGCCCCCATGCTGTCCCGTGGCTGACACTTCTCTGGGCCAAGTCATTTCTGGGGTGTGAGGAACTTGGCTGAGGGAAGCCTAGCTCTGGTAAAAGTCCCCTGCCTGGGGGCCTTCCTCCTTGACCCCTGCAGGACCCCGGGTGACAGGCAGCGCACGGAGTCTGCGGAGGGCAGAGCACCTCGTTGGAAGCTGGCCTCCTGAGCTCCCATGTGAGGGTGGGAGTCTCAGGCCCACACTGGGGAACCTGGTTCAGGGCTCCTGAGGGCTCTCCCTGTGAGGGGCTGGGGAGGGGTGTCTCAGGGTCCCCGGGGTCTGGGGCAGACAGGCAGGACCCCGCTGTGCCCCTGACTCAGTGGCTTCTCCAGCTGGGAAGGCAATCTTTGGGGAGTTTTTTTTGAGGCAGGGTCTCACTCTGTCACCCAGGCTGGAGTGCAGTGGCACCATCGTGGCTCACGGCAACCTCAACCTCTTGAGCTCAAGCGATCCTCCCGCTTCAGCCTCCCAAGTAGCTGGGACTACAGGGCGTGCCACCACGCCCAGCTAGTTTTTTTATTTTATGTAGAGACGGGATCTACGTTTCCGAGGCTGGTCTCCTGGGCTCAAGGGAGACTCCCACCTCAGCCTCTCAAAGTGCTGGGATTACAGGTATGAACCACCTGGGTCATTAGGAAGCCAGTCTGCAGCCCCCTCCCTGTCTGGGAGGCGCTGGAGGGTGTGTGCGCAGACAGACGGACAGTCCCTTCCACGGAGAACCGGAATGCGCTGCCCTACCCTGCCCGCTCCCCTGGGACCGCCCAGTCCTCGGACTCTGCCCTCGGGCCCTTCCCCAGAAGTCCTGCCCGCCATGGGAAGAGAGAGGCTGAGACCCACCCCGATGGAAGCAGAGAGGCCCTGGAAGGTGGGGGAATGCGCCTTCGGTGCCGGCCTCCCCCCAACTCTATTTCAGGCACCCCCACCCCACTCCCAGCATCTGCCACTCACATCAGGTAGCAGTCAGCCGGCCTCTTAATCAGCAGTTACTCTGTTGGCACCGCCCCTGCCCTCCACCCCAGGGCCCTACCAGAGCCAAAGCTGTCACTTCCAAGGCCGCCGAGCTTGGGCGCCCCGGACTCCCCGCTGCCAGAGCCTTAAGGGGGTGTCCTTGGGGCCAGCTGGGGGCCCAGCCAGGGCCTGGGGGAGAAGCAGGCTGAAGGGCCCAGGCAGGATCCACCCTGCACATTCTGGGGGAGCTGCGGGCTCCCGAGAATTGGCCTTGTCTCCTCTCTGCCCCCATTAAGCTTCTGCAGCATTCAACGAGGTGGAGAAAGTGCTGAGCTTCAGGGAGGACCACGGCCCAGCCCCCTCCAAGGTAGGGGAGGGAGTGACAAGGTGGGGGTCCGGCCGGCTCTCCAAGCAGGGAGCCCGTGAGGTGCAGTCAATCCAAACAGGGCTCACTGAAGACACGGCCTGTAAGTTCTCCCCTAAAGGGTCCCTGAAACTATGAAACCCCAGAGAGGGGCAGGAGACCCCGGGATGGCCAGGGGCGGGGGTGGGGACGAGACCGGAAGGAGGGAGCCCCCACCTCCGTCCTCACCATTCGCCTTCCCCACTGAGGGAGCCACGGCCGTGGCCACATCATCGCAAGACACACATGCATTGTTGGGGTCGCCCGGCCTGCGGCGGGATCCCCGGCTCCGTCCCCTCTTAGATAAGGAGAAGCAGTGAGCAGGCCCAGCCTTCAAACAGCTCAGCCACTGCCACCGCTGCCGCCTCCTCCTCCTCCTCCTCCTCCCCACAGCCATCTTCCCTGCTCCTTAGGCAGGGACAGGCCTGGGCTGTCCTGGAGGCCACCAAACCGCCTGGGACAAGTAGGTACCACCCCGGATCTGTGCTTCGGACGTCCTTTGAGGGGAATCTCGTTTCACCACTGTTCTGTGTCTGACTTCTGGCCGCCGAACGGGGGCCCGTGTTCTGCACGAGGCTGACCAGGGGGACGGGGGACGGGAAGAGATGGTTTTGGTACTTACTTTTCTTTTTGTCTCACAACAGGGGGGTTAAGGTTCTCGGGGGCTGAAGGAGCCGCTTGGGGCTGGCAGGCCTGGCTTTATAGCGGCCGTCACCCCGGACCTGGGCAAAGGCGCTGTGGTTATTAATAGTGACTGCAGCTTCATGCCCGTATATGGTCAAGGCCACGGCAGCTGCAGGCTCTGCCGGACTCAGGCCTCCTCCCAACACCTGCTCCGGGCCCTGACCTGGAGGCGCCGGGCAGCACTCGCCCCATCCAATGTGACTTGGCAATGACCATGTCGGAGACCCTAGAATCAAACAAGACTCACAGTTGGGGGCCCTCCAGAGGGTGCCGGGTCCCGCCGCACCCCTTCCTTCCGCCCTCACCACCGTCTTGGGAGGCACATGGAATCCCTGTCCCTGGGGAGGGGGAAATGGCAGAGAGAGAGGCAGCACTGTTTACCAGGAGCGCAGCCAGGATGTGCTTAAACCCAGGACACATTTTTGCAGACGGTGTGTAACTAAATCCAGGCTGCGGCCTGAGGCCTCAAATGGGTGTTCTGTGTCCTGTGCTGCCTTTACTCAGCCTGGGGAAACCGGGAGGACCCATGGCCTCCTCCGCTCCTGCAGGTGCGAGCTGCGCAAATCCTGCACTGCACTACAGGCCTGGCAACAGGAGCGAAACTCTGTTCTCATATAAAGTAAATAAAAAAAAATTAACAGAACTGGCAGTTGGGAGGCCAAGGCGGGGTGGATCACCTGAGGTCAGGAGTTCGAGACAGCCTGACCAACATGGTGAAACTCTTGTCTCTAATAAAAATACAAAAAATTAGCCAGGTGTGGTGGTGGGCGCCTATAATCCCGGCAACTCCAGAGGCTGAGACAGGAGGAATCACTTGAACCCAGGAGGCGGAGGTTGTAGTGAGCCGAGGTTGCACCACCGCACTCCAGTCTGGGCGACAGAGCGAGACTCCATTTCAAAAAAAAAGAAAGAGGCTGGACGCGGTGGCTCATTGCCTGTAATTCTAGCACATTGGGAGGCCGAGGCGGGCAGATCACAAGGGTCAGGAGATCGAGACCTGTCCTGGCTAACAGGGTGAAACCCGTCCTCTACTAAAAATACAAAAAATTAGCCGGGTAATTGGTGGGTGGGCACCTGTAGTCCCAGCTCCTCGGAAGGCTGAGGTTAGGAGAATCGTTCTAAACCCGGAAAGCAGAGGTTGTAGTGAGCCAAGGTTTGTGCCGCCTCACTCCAGCCTAGGCAACAGAGACTCTGTCGTCAAAAAAAAAAGAGGAGCGGAGACAGAGAGCGGAGAAGAGGAAAGAGAAGAGTTCCAGGACTGGCAGGGGACAAGAAACTAGCTACTAAAGGAGAAGCAGGACCCCGCCCAGCCCCCTCTGAGGAAGGAGAGCTCCTTTGTCTAGGGGATGCAA